CTAATTACTAAAACTTACATATAGGCCAAGCAGGCTTAAGGTTATTAATAATAATGGATCATCCCATCGACCCTTGGGGGTTGATACTAACCACTTTGGGGAGCCCTGGTGTAAAGGATTTTTAAAAACATACTTGATGAACTGAGAGCTTCCAGTGAATGACCTCAGACTATTTAATTGGGAGGGCAGAATTTGGCTTCTGCCCTTCTCCTTCCTCTGCAGATATCCTTCCCTGAGCAGAAATGCTCTGCAGGCCAGTCTGAACCTATTTTAATAGTGTCTTCACATGAAGATAATGGATTTCATTTCAAGTACACATTTCCTGAAGTCTGCATCATAATTCTCTAGAAATGTAGAAGTTTATCTTGCTGACCATTGAATAAAGATCATCAGGGCAAAACTAATTTAATCATGTTAGGTAAAACCTATATAATTTATGATGATAAGGATATCTGTTGAGATAAAACCTTTTTTCCTGAACTTAATCGTATCTCTAAGGGAAATCTAATCTTTGCAAACCTCTGAAGAAGTTTGGTTAACTTCTCTCTTTTTCTTGCTATTTTCCCCCCTCCCTCTCCTTCCCATTTCATCATTGTGGTCTATTTGAATTTAGTTTGGGAAGAACTCTTCCCAACTGTTCCTCAGATTTTCAGCTTAATCAGGAGTCTCAGAAGGCTCTTATTAGTGTTCGCATTGACTTCTTAATTATTTTTCCTCATACCTGTGAAGCCTGTGAAAAATACCACCTGTCCTTGATTTTTATCTTTTTATTCTTTTTATTTTTATATTTATCAGGGGGTGGAGGGTCATAATTTAATATGCTGACATTGTTAGCTGCCCAGAACCTTTGAGAATGGGTGGCATACATGCAAAGTGAATCAATCAGTGAATAAGAAGGAAATGGAACTTGGTGTTAGCAGTGAAAACTGACCATAAGCAGTGCATATTTAATTACAACTAGGGTGTTTAGTCTGATGGATGTCTCACATTGACAGCAATACTATGCATTTAGTTATTAGATTTATATGCCCTATACATCCACATTTCGATCAGGAGCTCATGGCATGCATAGCACTTCGTCTTCCTATTTTGCCCCCACAACAATCCTGCAAGGGAGGTTGAGTTGAGAAAGAATGATTAACCCCGAGTCACTTACTGAGCTTTCATGGCTGAGGGGTAGTAGAACTTGGGCCTCCCCACTCCTCGTCCAACCCCTTAAGCACTACACCGCAGTGGGTCCCTGCAAAAGGCAAGCAGAAAGCTGAGGCAGTTCACTGTACAAAGCAGGAAACTGAACTAGATAACTTCTCAGGTCCTGCTTTCAGCCTGTTACCCTCTCCTTCAGTCCTTTTTTTTCAGATGAAGGTATGGATGTTACTACCTTATTGGGGGAGATAAGAAGACAGAGTAAAAGTGCATACAGCACAAGTAAATCAGAAATCATAATTTCCAATTTCCTGTCTCTTTATAGCCTTACCTCCATAAGATGTATTTCATCCATAAGACACTTCATTGTTCTGTTAGCCTATCCTGTATCCTAAGGTTCTTGTTAGAATATACGACTGAAGTTTATTAAAAGAAAAAAAAAACTTAATTTGTTAAATGTTACATTCTACTTTTCTTTTTGATGGAATTCAACATGTCTAACAATATTAAGACAAATGTAACCAGATATAATAAATAAAACGCAGATATAATATTAAAATAAAAATGTAAAAGGCATGAAAATAAAAAAATACCAAACTTTACTAAAACTAATTGCTAATTACTAAATTTTTAACTAATTACTAATTACTAAAACTAATTACTAAAACTTACATATAGGCCAAGCAGGCTTAAGGTAGGAATACCTTTGTCTGGCAAGGGTTTTGTCTTACAGTTTAGGTTAGCTGAGCCTACCTTGCCCATTGGAAGCCAACCACATGAGCTACTAACCAACTACATGAGCTACTAGCCCAACTCCAAGGGTTTTATAGGAAAAAGCTGAAGGGGATAATGTTCGATACATCATCTTTGGCTCCAGGAATAAAGGCAGGATGTAAATCTAGTGAATAAATAAAAGGGTGGCGAATGGCACTCAGTGGAAGCGGGTAGGCGTTCTGGTGGATTTCAGGTAAAGAGGACTCAATCAGAGTTGCCTGGCATTTAGTAATAAATTCTGACTGATTCCTGTCACCTAGCCCCCACTTGTTTTTTAAGGTTCAGTTCCAGGCATACACGTAACACCACTGTACTAAATTTGTGCATGTCCTCCAAGGTTTCCATTCCCCACAGATTTCTAATTTTCTAATGTAGTAATATAATAAATACAATACAATACAATACAATACAATACAATACAATACAATACAATACAATACAATTTCTCTAAAACTGTTTCTGTGTTATAAACAAACGATTCAAATGAATACATTTAACAATGGGAACAGACCACCAGCAGCAAACTATTACTAATACCATTGTGAGCAATTCTTCCTGTGCAGAAAACCAACTTATTGGGGAGAATGTTTTAATCTTGACCACAGTTTAAAATGCTACTTACCATGCTTCAGAGCTTTTTTCTATGGAACCGTATGCAACAGTTTGATGCAAACGCATTTTTAATGTGTTGTCTGAATTGTACAGGCTTATCCTACTACTCGTTCAACAACATTTGCAGAATGGTTTTAATTTAATTCAGAATTAATTTAGGAAAAAGGTAAAGTTCACTATCACTCTTAATATAAAATGATGCCTTCTTTTGGCTATTCCCCTCATTTTTATTTGATTTTTATTTGCTCTGAAATATTTTGTTTTGAATTAGTAATGAACTAAATAAATATTGATGTAGGGGAAGGAAATATTGCATGTGCTGTGAGTTACGTATCAGGTTGTCATTTGGGAAATTACCTTCACTAAAGTGGTCCAGCATTTGGCAGTTAATATTTGATTTTTTCTTTTCTGTGTGTCATGTAGGCTTCTGGAGCTGATGCCCTGGAGTTAAATTTATCATGTCCACATGGTATGGGAGAAAGAGGCATGGGCCTGGCTTGTGGGCAGGTAGGATTTTTTAAGTCTGTTTCATTTCTCCGTGGCAGTACAGCACCGTTTCATTGATAGTTCTAGCTCAGGGCTAGAACACAGGGAGTGGATTGCTAGCTTGGAATTCTCTGGCCTCCCCCTGTTTAAATATTTAGTGCCAAAAATGTGGGAAATGACAAGAGTCTGAGATTACACACAGTGTTTATTTTTATGGAAGGCAAAATTGCATTATGCGCTTGACAGGAAGCAATATCATAACAAATAGTTGCCAAAATGCTCAGACAGAATTGTCCTTTATACATTCTTAATGCTGACCAGTGTCTCTGGGGAAATGCTGTACAAGCAATGTTATGCTCATAGGCATTTTACAGAAGGTTAGCTACAGTGATGGCATTTTATGGTTAGTAGAAACTACGCTAAGAAGTGATGGGGAATCTGTTTGGGAACACAGAGTGGACTTGTGACCTCTTTCTAAGCCATTGGTTTTGTCATTCCAGTTTTCTGTTTCTGAAGTGCAATCATGTGTATGTCCAGCTAAAAACAGACAAATTTCTCTCCCATGGAATAATAATTGGAGGCCTTGCTCCAAACTCCCTGAGTGTCAGAAACCCAATTAGTTGAAAGAGAGGAAAGAATGTTTTTAGTTGCCTCCAATGCCCAACCTTATTTAAAAAAGGAATTCTTCCCAAAAATCAGTATATGGAACAGTTAGGGATGAGGAGAAACCTCAAGTACTTTGATGGATAGTTTCCCTAGTCGAGGGTTGAATTGCTAAGCTTAACAAATTTAAAACACCTGCTTTACATCTAAGTAAATAAACAGGGATGCTATATTTAAAGAGCTAATGGCATAAAGGGAATACAGAGTTAAAGAAATCATAGCCATCTTTAAGGGCACGGAATTTGTTTACAAGGAAGAGGCATACTGTAAAGGTGGGGGAAAAACAGAAGTCTTCTCTCTCCCTCTCTCCCATCTGATTATGACTTTCTTATGCAAAGAGACCATTGCACCAGACTTCATTTTTATTTTAGCATGTATTGCTTTAAATGTTTCAGTAGACTCAGATTACATATTCCGCTAAAATAATTAAACATGTAATCCACATATATAACAACAGTTTTTGCATTTCATAGATCTGATTAATACAGAATGCAACATATGGTGTGTGTGTGTGTTTCTGCATTTCCAAAGATGCTTATTTTCTTTTTAGATTGTGCTGTCTTTATTCCCACAACCAAATTATCTGGTGCTATACTGAATCTTGAGGTTCTGCTTTGGTCTAAATCAGCCTTTCCCAACTTGGTGCTTACCAGATGTGTTGTATTACACATCTCATTATATCCAGCCAGGAAAAATATTGGACAAGGCTGGCTCAGATTCAGGGATATATTTATGGAATGTACTACAGATACATAGCAAAATACTGTTGTGAATAAGCAATTAAATAATACAACATACAACAGTGGCTCGGGCTAATTTGGTTTACATTAGATTAGGTATGTGCACTAGATTTGCTCAAATCTTAAATCATCTGTATGGGACCACTGTGAAACAATCAAACTGGAACTTACAAGAGGTTCCTTTGATTTGGAACTTTGGGGTACTGCAAAAAGGTACACATTGAAACTTTTTTTTTTTTATGCCTTCCTATATATCTTTCCATACATAACCTACCTACTTTCCTGTGTTCCTTGGCATTTTCCCAAATCATAAAAAGCCTTTCTTTTTCTATTTATCACTGACAATGCTCCTCCACTGGGATCTTCAGTTGTATTTCTGCACCCATTGAGACAGTCATTTTTCTTTAAAAGGAATTCTTGCCTTCACTAGTCCCAACTTGATTGCACCATGTTCAGTTTCAGCAGTTCATTTCTATTTAAAGCCAGGGCATTATGGCAACTGCAGTCATTTTCTCTAACCCTCTCCTTCTTGAAGTATTTGTCCCATATACATGGAGTTGCCTTATCCTGGTTTTTGTGTATCTTGATCTTTCTTCATCCCTCTAGCCCCACTCCCTCCCCATTGCTCAGTAGGAGGCTATAATGCTTGTGTGGCATAATATCACTAAGTCTTCCATGATAAAAAGGATCATTTGCTTTGTTAGTAGAATGCAAGTAACTGGGGAACAGGACACTTCCTCATAAGGAAGTCAGGAGGAGGTTAAGAGACCAAGGGAAGGGACATGAAGAGAAGAACAATGGACGACTGAATAGAGAAAAAAGGGAAGGGAAGGGAAGGGAAGGGAAGGGAAGGGAAGGGAAGGGAAGGACCAATAATTGTTAAAGAAGAGAGAAACATTCTATGTGAGTTGTTCATACAGTGTTATTGCTAACATTATTGCTAAATAATATTTAAATTGTTCATTATCAGATGGACTTTTGAATAAATAAGAAAATGTAATCATACCCTCTTTAGCTTAAAGATACTAGGCTACCAGGAACAGAACAGAACTCTAACAATATCAGTTTGTGGTGGTGGCAGTGAGATGTTAAATTAAACTTAAACATGGAAGAATAAATAACCCCAATTTTGCTGCTTCCTTGACTTCTGTAGGCAGGTTTGTTGATACACTATTGTGCTGCCATTAAGAAAGGCTTGTCATGTTTATTGCTATACCACCTTGATCATATAGCTGCCTGAATAAAGACAGGAGCCAAGAACTTTTGTTTTAATGTATTTTCAAATGGTCTTCCCTTGCCACTACCATCCTTAGCACAACCTTTCAGAAGTCTATGCACGTTCTTTCATTCATTCATTCATTTTTCTGGCAATTGCTAGAAACTTTAAGACAAAATAAAACATGGTGAATGGGTAGGTGGGGGAACGGTAGTGAATTATTTCCTTCAGTTCTGAAGAGAGCAGAGATTAAGGGACTATTATTACTTTGTGAGCCAGACTGACTCGTGTGCACTAGAAGACAGGACCATCAAACAACACTGTCTGCAAGTTTAGACCAGCCAGGTTGGGTTACATATTGTGCAAGTTAAGGAGGCCAGGACAGAAGTACAAAAATAAAGACTGTGCACATACTCTAAATTCCTTTAAGCATCCCTTGTAAATGCTTAGGAAACAGATGGAGTTGGTGGTCTGGAAAGCACAGATGTATCTGCACAGGATCCTGCATTTGGGTTTCATTTCTCCATACAGTGTCAGATTGGGGAATAGAAGGAGGGGGAAGAGTAGATTCAAGTGACTGACAGATCTAATCACAGGGAATGGTTCATAAGAGCTCACCAGTTACAGTGCTTTGGGAAGCCCTTGCTTACACCTAAAACCAGAAATTACAGGCACTTTCCTATTTTAAAAATCAGAATTTAAAGGAGCCTGTCTCCAAAATTTTTCCCCTATTTGGCAGGTTTCTTAGACACTGGCAACAAAAACTGGAAGAGGGGATAATGACTATTTTCCCCCTTCTCATGAATACTTCTTTACCTTTTTGTCTCAAATTTGGTATGATTTATTGCCACAGAAAAGGCCACAGTGCCTGCAAATGTAATTTAATTCTTTCCAAAATCAACAAAGCTATAGACACTTTCCTTTTTATAATAATCAAATAATCTAGCTTGAAAAACCTCTGGATCTGTTTCCATGAATTTGGGCAGGCTTCATCCCATCAGAAGATTCTGTTGTGCCTGCTAATCAAATCCCCTTCTATTAAAAAGTAGAAAATGCAGTAGTCTATTATTTTCCCATGATAGTCAAAAGTAGCTTTAACCTTGGGCCACAAACCAAGCCGCCTCTGTTGCAGTAGGAGTTGAATCAATCTATTTTCTGAAGTGCTTAATCAGGTTCAAATCAAACCACGTACTGAGCACACATCTCTATCTTAAATTCTATTATATGCATCACTGCACTGTCTGGGCTTTATGTAAACATATGTGTTATCCACATAAATAAATGCCTTTGCACTTATTATAGATCTGTTTATTATTTAGGAGCTGATTTGGCCGTGTGTTCTTTCCCCCTCTTCAGAATGTACTGGTAGAAAGGTTAGGAATAAAGATAGTTGAAAAAAAATGTAGGGAAAGAAGTATGATAGTGGGAAAAATATGGAATTTAAATGTTAAGGTAAAGTAAGCTGTGGGATGTGCTGGTTTAGGAATTCAAATAAAAACAATCAAGAAGTGTTCTGGTGTGCACAGAAATGAAAATTGTGAATTAACACCAGACTGATTCCCCTAATATGGTGCTCTGGGCCAGTGAAATAACTGTATAAGTGAAGGATTTGTTTAACATGTAATAGAAATGTGTAAAATATTAAAATAAAATCCGTATGAGAGGAGTACAAAACCTACTACTATTATATATGTATGTTTATGGAATAATAATTTTGGTGTATTATTGGTTTGTGGTTTCTTCCAGGGGTCTTATAAATCCACAGGATAGCCTTGGGCTCTAAAATTGAGCAATTGGCTCTAAAATGATTCTCCTGTTGCTGGAAGATATGTAAAAATGCTTGTAGCCAGGTTGTTCCCTACTGACTACACATCTAAGAGGCTTCCAGTGCTTGCATACATTATTCCTGCTGGCGCAGGTTGGAAATGGTTTATGCAAAAGAAAGATAAGAGGGGGAGGGGTGTTAATACTTGAATTTCTACACATACACACACACTTATTTATTTATTTATTTGTGTATTTATTTGTGTATTTATTTATTTATTTATTTATTTATTTATTTATTTATTTCAAGAAGGCCTTGACCTGTTACACAGCATCTTTGAGGAACCCTATTCTACCCTGTATCACACTGCATCCATCTGTTACCTATATTCTTTCCCATCAGAGGCTGCAACATTAGCAGTTTATTTTAAATCTGAAGTTTGAAAGCCAATCTGCTGCCAACAGTGAGCTACAGGTTTTACTACATAATTTGCATGAAAAAAATAATCCCAATTGGTTGCTGTTTTTATTCCTCATT